AGATTTGCAATGGAGGGTTAACTCTAAACGCGCAGTGAGTTGTTGACTTTTTTTTGTTAGGCGTCAGAATTTTTCATCGAACTATTTTGAAAAATTCATCGCGGGCCACATAAATTCGTTGGACGGGCTATGCTTGGGTTAAACCATCGTCCTAGTGCTCCGGATACGGAGCGACTAGCTGATGTCTAAGCGGTTCCACAAATGAAAAGACTAGCAAAAGACCGGCGTGGTGGCAAACAATCGCTCGCTCTATTTGAATGGTAGGTGAAGATGCGATGGCCCCGTTGCCCGAACTTGGTCGTTTATGTCTCAGTATCCGTGTCCGGACGTCGATAATCCTACCTGTTCCGCCGAATGCCGATGGCTGGAAACTCGTCTGCCGTGGCCGAGATTTACTTCTGTTCCGTTCCGATTCAAACAATAACAACAGAATGTTCACCTTTGGAACACGTGACAATCTGATACTCCTCGAAATAAGTTATCGTTGAATTCTGGTAAAACTCTCGAAACGGCTCGTGCACTTTTTGTTCCATTGTAAAGCATTCGTGTTCCAGTAAATCGACAAATCGTTCCGTGTGTACTGCGGAAAAAAGCTCGGATTATATTGAACTGTTTGAAAAATGAACAACACCGATTGTCAGTATGAGACCAAAGAATATCGCGATTGATTTTAAATTGGTAGTTTAGAAATTTACGAGAATTTACAAAAGTTTTTTCAGATTGCGAAATTACAGGATGTTTCTTTCATCTAAATAGAATCATCTGCAAAAACTTTGAAGAGAATGGTTTTGCAACGTTACCGAGAAGATTCCGACTTTGCACAGAAATTAAGAATGATTCCAGCTCTGGCATTTGTGTCGATAAATTTGTCGATACTTTTCAATTTCTACCATCAGAAATCACACCGGTAGTGAATATTTTTTTCGAATATTTTTTTTTGGAAGACCACAACGTCGTCCACGTCGTTGTGGTCTTCCACATCTCGAGTCGATTATCGTCGTCCACGATGATAATCGACTCATACCATCGAGGTGTGGAAATGTACGAGGGCCCGAAGATGAATTAGCAAAAACAAATAATTCATTGAAAGATGGCTCTGAAGTTTTCGGTCCTTCTTTGGAAATTTCCATCCCATCTTTGGAAATTAATGTCTGGTTGTTTTGCTCTAGGAGAATAATTTCCAGTTTATAAAATTGGGATTTTTACACCGCGGTGTTTATCCAGGAGTTATCTCCCGTTACATTATAAAATGGGATGCGATTTATGGAAAAAAGGAGTATGAATTCCTTATTATAGAGCGCGTTAGCGTTCTGTAGTAGGCTCCGTCACACGTCTAATGTTAAAGAGCCAAATTTGACCATTAATATCTCAAAGATAACGAACCGATTTAAATGAAATTTAAAACATTTAGTGTCCGCGATGAAGACTACGGAAGTCTTAAATTTCGAATAAATTCGTTAGATCGCTCCGAACTTACACAATCCCAAATTTCGAACGTTTACACTAGATTTACAACGAGGAAGATTTTCGGGACACCAAGATACCGGAAAATCTAGGAGTCTGGTTAATTAATTAATAGCTTAATTAATTAATAGCTCTTTCGACAGCTGACCTCCTCTTTTAAAGATTGCATTTAAAATTATTAAGTATTTTTAAATATTGTACAACCTTCCTGTAATTCTAGTCTGTGTAATGTACACTTTATTCACACGCTGAGTCATACTGTCAAATCTGCTTCCAGTATTGTGCCACAACATTCAAATGTTTCCTCTATTTAGATGTTTCTGCTGAGTGTACTTTCTCAAACTGGTTTCATTAGTTTTTAATGCGATATGTGAGGGTTTACCCCTTCTTTCTAATAGAACAATATGTAGAAGAATGGAAAAAAAAATTGATTTTCAGGATGGCATTTATTTGGAATTATTGGATTGTCGCAATATATAATACAACCATTCCAAATTAGTAATTGTGTGCTGTACTCGACGAGATGTAAATTTGTGAAAAACTTTTGTATGAGTCGAGTTGAAAAAAATGTTAGGGCTGATTATTAAAGAAGTGAAACAAGATAATTCTGTTTCGGCTTTGTCGTGTTTTGATTTTTATGTTAAGAGGAATAACATTTAGTTGGAAGGAGCCAATAACTTATTTCACAGGTTCAAGCTGGACAAAGATTGGCTGAGAAGGTTGAAAAAATTTTGAAAGAAACACATTCGAGGGGAATTAGGAATTAATATTTTGGCGGTAATCACTGACGTAAAATCAAATCTTGACGGCGGGATGGCCGAGCGGTCAAGGTGGCAGCCTACCGCTCTGGGGACCCGGATCGAATCCGGACGAGTCGAATACAAATTACATTGATAGCTTACAAACAAAATTTCACACAGTACGCAAAGAAATGTTGACGATAGAGATGGCAAGAGTAGAAAAAAAGAGATTTGGAGTGTTAAATGTTGAAGAAAAGATCTTGACAACCTGCCTTATATTAGGGTTACACAATTAGACATTTTTTAAATATTTAAATTTGTAGAGAAGCGAGTCAAAAACGTTCTCGTTCAAATATCATTGTTTCGTCTACAGTTTTAAAGGAAATTATGTTCATTTGTGTTAAAGAAACACGTCTAGCCGAATGACGTTGTGAGAAACGTGCGAATTTGTTTTCCAACGAATAGTCGAATCGTCATTCGAAAAACGGAAGAGAAATCTGGAATCGAACAAACTAAAAATTTGAGAAAAATTTTAACTTAGGAAATTGTCATCAGATTTTTTATTTCATTTTACAAAGGAATTTTGAAATGCGTTCATTTGGAAACAAGACTGCGTACTTTCGAATTGGCGTCAAATAACATTGATTGAGTGTTTGTATGTATAGCTTTGTCAATCTACTTAAACCTTTTCGATACTAGCGAAACATAATTCATTTCCAAAACTAAATTTAAGTTCGTTAAGTAAAGCGGCATTCCGAGTTTAAACAATAAACTTGGAATTCTTCTTCACTGGGTAGCAAACATTTTTAAAAGTTGTTGTTAACAAATAAACAAATAAAGTTATATTAAATTTGTTTAATATGGTTAAAATTGAAGTAAATTCATTTTTTCCAGTTAAATTACGAATTTTTCATCGTATACGTTCACGATAATTGTCAAAAATTGTGCCTCGGAGCTCAATGCGTTTACCGGGAATCTCGATCAACGTGTCCGCTGTACAGTACAGGCGGCACCACTATTTGTAAGCCAAGGGAACTGTACGCCGCTTTGCCGTTTATTTTTCAGTCGAATGCGAAACGTTGTCGTCACGCTGCCGCATCAGATTCTCCGCCGAATCCCTGGCGGCGCAGCGTACAGGAGTTTCATCTCTACGTAATATTGTAGTCAACAGTGGTAGACAAAATTATATGTTCGGGTGATATTTTTAGGCTGTAAATGAATAAACTGTTTAAATGAAATGGTAACGTGCTAAAATAATCAATTGCGTCTATTAATATTACAGTAGAGCGTCGATTTTCCGAATCAATTGGGCACTGGGGTTGTTCGTATAACTGATATTTCGGATAGCCGATTTATGTACGAAAAAATAGTTTAACGTATCCCATGTTGAAATTTTTCTCCGTTGCGTGTCGCTTCGCGTTGAATTTTCGTCGATGTTAAGCCTAACAAAGACTATTGTATCGTTAAAAATTATTTTTTTATTTTGTACAGACAAAATAAATATATTGAAAAATATAAAAACAATAAAAAATTATACTTCAGATGTTAATTTAGTATCAAAACGTAAAATATTTGAGTAGCCCAAGACATAGCCAAAGATTGCAGCGCCACAGCACTAGCGAAAATTTAAATTTGCCGACTGGAATTCTTTCGGACGATTGACTTTCGGAAAATCGACGCTCTACTGTATTTCAATACATTAAATAGTTTCGACCTAGAGAGCGTATAATGAGAGAGCGGTCATACGAACAATCGCTGCCGTGTCTTTTCCACACTTCTTATTTAGCCGCTGCCGCATACTATACTTCGTTGGGAAAACCAAAATAATCTCCCTCTTTTTTAAAACGGAAAATCGGCTAAAAGCAAATAAATGTCGTTTTCGACCTTTAGAACTAATTCTAACCGTTATTATTTGTTTATTTAATATACTATTTAATAATTTTTGAAATTTGTTTACGATGAACATTTACCCCACGTGACGAGTGACGAGTCAATTTTTTTCTCATATCCTAAATGTTAATTATTATTCTATTATGCTAATTTCTACAATGAAATAAAACAGACGTGACAAAATGATAGGAAAAGTCTCGGAGAACAAAAGTATGGCGTGGTTCCGCCTATTCATTAGGTAAACTAATGCCATTTATTTTTAAAATTACAAAAGAAATTATAGTTTCATTTAATTCATTACCTTTTATATAATTTTTATATGCGTAGAAATATAAATAATAAATATTTGAAAAAATATAAAAATTTGATTACATTTTGTAAACTTTAAAAATGCATAAAATATCTAATATCTACAGTATTTAATTATATCATTAAAGTAATTAGTAAAAAACAAATTAAATTTTGAAAAAATAGTAATTAACACTTTTATATAATATGAGCATTGTTTGCCCTTTACTCGAAAGAGCATTTTAAAACTGAACTTTACATTTGTTTTCTTATTTTTTTAAATCAAAAAGGTTAAGTCGAAATGTTATAAAACAATATCTAATGTTTCTTTTAATGTTGTGACATTCTTTAAAATGAATTTTCTGAATTTCAAAATCACAATTTATAATTTCAATGAAGATACGCTTACAGTTTTGTTTATTCTTCGAATGAACATTCTCCAGAGTTCTGTTACTCGTTCGAAACTTAATGCCTGTTCGACGGAATTTGCGTCATTCGAAATTTTACAGGTTTTTGAAGGAAGTTTTTTTTTTTTTTAAATCGGTGGAGAGCCCTTGTAGATTTTTTTAGGTAACGCTTAAGGATATATGAAAAGGAGATCATCGTGCTTCAATTTTCTAGTTCGATCGACTTTAGTTTTTTCTCGTTGATCATCGGGAAATTGAACCTGAAAATCGGATCGAGTGTATCATTTGAAATATTAAGACGGCACATTTTGATTTAAACAATCGATGCTATTACATGATTAATTGCGTGGAACTTTATGCAAGTGCAAACCATAACACAAGTAACATATACAAGTAAAAATTATCTTATAACACAAGTAAAGAGTCTAATATTAGTAATATATATATATATAGCCTATATAAGTTATTACTAAAAAATAGATATATATATTACTAATGTGAGACTCTACTTATAAGTTTTACTTGTATATGTACTGTACTTATAGTATGGTTTGCAGTTGCATAATTATTTTAAAAGTTCCGTGCAATTAAATGAATAATATATATGTTTGTGTTTACAGAATATTAAGTGTATTCTACTGTGAGGTGTATTTACAAAATAACTTAATTCCCGAACAATACACATTACACTTATACATTATTATTATTACTTATTAAACTAAGATAATAATTTATTATAAGTAGCTAATGATAAATATTATATAATTAAAATTTATCTCTCATTCACTAATCATTGCGTATCAAATCCTACTTTATATATAGTCTATACAGTATTCTAAATTACAAATCTACAATAATTTACAATATTTAATAAGGCCTTTCATATGAGATACAGTATTGTAGATATTAAATTATATGAATACCCGTATTAATTTATGTATACTGAATTTTTTATTTAAATTTTAAGCAATTTGATCTGTTTCGTGAATGAATATATTATTCTAAAATAATATAAAAATTTAAATACATAGATGATTGTTACTATTTTACTTATTTCGCATAAATAGTTGCTGTCGGTTGCTTTCCAGCCTTCTCGTTTGCTTTTGTTTGCCAACGTTTACGACGTGCGGGATCTTTCGGAAAAAGTTTTATCAAAACTCTTTTCTAGCTGAGATTTGTGCAGCCGAAAGCGGCACACGTAGTCACACTCTAAAAACTATTGAAGTGTAAAATAAGTTAAAAGAAATGATAACATTTAAGTAAGAAGTTATCGTTTAGTATATAACAGTTCGGATAAAACTCAAAAATTTAAAGTCAATACAGATAGACAGTATATGGTCATTAGCCGAAATATTGTTAATATATTCTTAATATTACTAACCTTTATTAATTTTAATTCGTTTGCCGACAATCAACGCGTAGACGATAAAATTTATCCACCACATTCGTTCCAATCTCTCTAGCACGTTGTTTGGAAGAATAATGGCGGCTTTAAGTCGCGTGATCACAAACTGCCAATAGAAAAGCGTTACTTATACGACCACTCTCTCATTATATGTGTCACACGGAAGCCGTGTGATTTGGACAGGCTTATTGTCTTACACGTTTGGACAGAAACTTCAGCAGGATGGCACCGATTAACTCCACCTTATCTTCATTCACCAGTCAGTATTTCGAGATAAATAAACCTAAAAAATACAAAAGGAGGGAAAAACCAATTAAATTTACAAATTTAAAAACAATTTAATAACTTTTTAAATCTTCTTTTAAAAAGTTTTTAATCGCTTAACTCTTTCACTTCGTTGCGTAAACTAATCCACATCTTTATCGAATGAAACAATAGAGCTATTTGGCCCATTCTTAGTGTAACCTCCGGCAACAAATAATTATTTTTTATTTTGAAACTGTAGTTTGTCGGTTTAAGATATTTATTGACTAACTCGAAAAGAAAGCATTCGATTTTTTGTTGTTTTAGTAACTTAAAGCCGTCCGAGTAGTCGTTGTTTATACAAAGTAGATATTTTATGTATTTTATCTTGAATATAATAGGCAGACACCCAAAATCATTATACAGTAGTACAGATTATGAATCGATCGATAAAACGGTTTCGTTCTACTCGCAATTTATTTAAAATATATAAACAGGAACCCCAGATTGATATTTCGTATTTAAATTCTGCTTCGATATAAGTACGGAAGAGTTTTAACTTAATTAAACGTATTGCAATTAATTTTAGAATTAATATCTTGTAGTTAACATGCAATTAAGAATGGTTGTACCCTTTTCGTTATTCCTTTAAATTTGGTCAACACCGAAGTCAGACTGTTTACGTACCGATTCCATCGAAGTTCAGGTAAATTTTCAACTCGACTGATTATTATTATTATTATTTTTAATTTGCACCTGATCATCATATATGTAGCCTACTTATTTTTTTTTGTAAAACACAGAAATTTAGTCTCATCAGTGTGGATACACAGATTATAAATTTTCAGATATTCAATTAACTTTTTAAATATATTATTTAAATTGTCTCGAGTGCCCTGGTATTCGAGTCCTAATATGATATTACAATATCGTCTGCATACGTTATAAGATTGGTTTTAGGTAAAAATTCAAAAAAGTCATTAATATAGACTAAATATTAAAAACAATAAGGACCTAAAACGGACCTAAAAATAGAGTTGTTCGCTTTCACATAATATTTACGATTTAACAAGTAAGATGATAAACAGCGCAATGGCGTACTTTTCGATCCTATATATTTTAAAATTATTTTTGCCGACCGCTAATCAACTTTAGAAAAAGCTTTAGAGAGGTCGACAAATGCCGATACTAGTGTAAAAATTAAGAATAATTTAATTTTATTAAGAATTTGTTAAAATAATTGATGTCAAATTCGTGGGAAGAGAAGTAAAACTTCTTTTGGAAGAGATGTTATCACACATCTCCGACGAACATCTGTTTATTTGGATCAGAAATAATATCCCCTCAGATGTTACAAATACCAAAACTCTATTGGAGAGAAATTCAGAATAAAAGGGAAAAAAAATCATAATCTCGGGGCAGCAGTCGAAGGTTACATACACTATAAGGATATTGTCCCATACTATGAAGATCTGGAAGAAAATTGTAGAAAGAAGGATTAGGCAGGAATCTGAGATTAGAGAGGAACAGTTTGACTTTTTGCCGGGAAAGAGTACGATTGATGCTATCTTTGCTTTAAAACAGCTGATGAAAGGCACAGGAAAATGCAGGAAGAATTGCACGCGGTGTTCATAGATCTAGAAAAGGCGTATGATAGGGTACCGAGGCAAGAGGTATGGAGATGTTTGAGGGGGAAAAGAATGTTCCAGAAAAATATGTTAGGCTCGTCAAGGAAATATACTATACGAGGGAACGGAGACCCAAGTTAAGAGCAGTGTGGGCAGTACAGAAGGGTTCTTCGTTAATGTTGGTTTATTTGTTTGACCCGATAATGGACGTGATGGTGCGTAACGTGAAGTGTGAGGTTCCGTGGAGTATGTTGTTTGCGGATAATATTTTCCAACCAAGGCTCAAAAGAAACTGGAAGATTGGAGGAAAGTTTTGGAAGAAAGAGACAAGAAGATTAGCGCAACTAAAACAGCTTATATGACTTTGAATGGTAGAGACGACTGTAATATTAAAATCCAAAATGTGCCGCTCCCTTTGATTCGGAGTTTTAAATATCTTGAGACATTTGTCGAGATAGTAGGAGGATTGAACTCGGAGGAGGTGCAGCATAGAATTCAATGTGGATGGATGAACTGGAGGAAGCTGAGCGGTGTGTTATGCGACAAGAAAGATAGCTGCAATCTGAAAGGAAAATTATGTAAATCAGTTGTTAGACCCGCAACGTTACATGGAGCGGAGACTCGGGCAATAACAAGAGCTCAAGAAAGAAAGACGGAGGTGGCGGAGATGAGAACGTCGAGATGAATGTGTGGAGTGTCAAAGGATAGAATAAGGAATGATTTTATTAGAGGTTCTGTTAAGGTGGGCCCCTCGAGCAAAGAGATGCAAGAATGCAGGTTGAGGTGGTTTGGCCACGTAGAGCGAAGAAGCGACAATTATGTTGGAAAGAAGATCGGAAAACCGGTAATAAAAGGAAAAAGGAAAAGAGGAAGAGAAAAGATGCGTTGGAAAGATAAGGTGGAAGAAGACTCGAACCAGAGGGGACTTCAGAGAGAAGAAGCTCTTCATAGGGAGAAATGGAAAAAACGTATTAGAGAAGGAAACGCCGACCCCATATAAACATGGGAAAAGGCGAGGATAAAGAAAGATTTTTTAATCTACCTGCCTGTTCTTTTGTTTAAACGGACACCAATCGAACGCACCCGCGACTCCCACACACGTTTTAAGACCTATCCACTGACCCAGTGAGTGGAACTAACCGTTCTGACGATTAGAGGGTTTACCCTCGCTTGTATTTTCACACTAGTGTATAGGATTTAAGTACCATAGTAACTAATTGTGTGAAATGTAACAAAGCGTCGATTGTAGAGAAATTCCTTTCATAACTGTATTAGGAGTCACGTCAGTGACTCTTCGACAAGTAAAAAAGTCACCAACTGACTATACACAGAAATCAAAGTTGCCGATTTTCGGGGGTCAATTTCTCGGTCTCACCAAACACCCGAAGTAATTCTGAATATCTCGTTCGAAAAAAATACAGAATCTAGAAAGCTGATATTTTAAACTTAAGATTTCCTCGTTATCAGTGAGCTGCCGGCTAAACTTCCTGGTCGATAGGTCAAAGTTCACAGAGGTTTCCCTTAGAACTAATTCAGTTTTAGGGCTTACTATTACGCTGCAAAGATAAAATTGCATGGAAAGAAACGAATTTTATTCAAAATGTTACTCAGAATTACAAAATATCAAATTTATGCTAATTAAAACTTTTTATAACGATTTTTCCGAACGGTAAATCGAAAGCGTTCGGTTTGCGTTCAGTCACCGAGCGACGACCGAATCGTACGTCAACGTCTTATGTTTTGACGTAACAATACAATTATTATACAAAAACAATTGACATCCAAAGAGAAACATCCGAGATGTAAAAAAATACGGCAAGTAAAAAATGTAGAAAACAAGAATACGGGCAAAAATCTTGTGGGTACAGCTTCCAAGTGTCAAGCTTATCTTTACCAAAGAAAAACTCCTAAGAAATATTTTCACCTTCGTCTAAATTGTCATAACTTTTTACTTGCCGTATTTTTTACCTCTCACATTTTTTTGTTTGGATAGATTATTACGAATTATTTTATTTTTACTAAAGTAATTGCCGAATCTCGCGTAAAAGCTTTTTCAATACTCTTCGCTAAAACTGGAATTATAATAATCGGTGCGTAATTTTCCATATCCGATTTGGCTCCTTTTTCTTTTAAATTGGTAAGAAACGACTATGATTTAATCGTGTGAAAAAATTCTAGTATTAAACGATTTATTTATATTTAATATGAAATAGTCACGGCAACTATGTCAGCTATTTGTTTTAATATTTCAATATTAACATTGTGTATATCCGGAGTACCGCTCTTTAGATTTATAACTGCATCGTATGTTTGTTGCGGAGTGCATTCGACCAGAACGAAAGAATTCCAACTTGTTCGAAATGACGTCAAAGTTTGTTGAGTTATTGTAAAGACGATAATGATTTACAGACACGTTGCCGATATTATCTTCGTCGTTGTAAGTTTCTCCATTATGTATTAATTGTTCGATCGTTTCATCGGTTTTTCTTTTTACGACAGTTATGGGTAGTTTCTTAAAACCTTTCCAAAACTGAAATGAAGAAATTATGTCATAAAATTGATTAGTATAATATTCCTTATCTTTAATTTGAATAACCTTTAATCTGTCTAGTAAGTGCTCTTATTTTATCCCGTATCGTTCCACACTGTTGTCTCGACGATTTAATCTCTTTAAACTTCCCGAATAATATCAATTGCAAAGCACTTTCGTCTGATATTTTTGAGAGAAAGGTTTTCCACTGAATACACGATTCGTTTTCAAAAATTAAAAGATATTTATTTACAAATATTAATAATATTTTTTTAAAACTAGTTAGTTAATGAATCGAAAGATCACGAGGATAAAAGTAAATGCACGAGAAACGGGAGTTTAAAGTTAAAGTTAATTTGTTAAATTTGGAATTAAAATTGGAACGAGTAATTATTTATTGTGACATGGTCACAATACCGGGCTGCAATTTTTAATCATATTTTTAATTTATTTAATTTAAAATATATGCTCTCCACCCGAAATTAGTGGTGGCTCGCTACCGTATATCGCGCTTTCCTTTAACAACAGACCTGCCGGTCATCTATCAAACACCTTTCCGGGGAAATTTTTGAATCGAAATAACAAGCCTTCTGGTTTGCGCAGAGAGTTCGTACGTAGTTAATCGAGCCTCCCACCTCTAACATTTCCTTATTTGGTTTCGCCTTTCAGCTATCTAACTCTTTTCTGGACAGACAGGCAGACGGACGACATTGGAAATTTATAGGTCTACCAATTTATAAAATCTCTGCCCAACGAGGACCGATATCAAATATACTTGCTCGATTTCGCCAAAGAAACTTTTCGGCGAAGATCGACGCATTGGTATTTCTGGTCGAATAACGCGAAATTTTGGGAAAGGGCGTTTACTGGAAGGGAGAGGAG